CATATGCCAGCACTGTTCTTGTGTATAAACGATTTCTCTAAGATGGTTGAAAGCAGTAAAATGTGCTTCTGTACACAAACATCAAATTCCCACAAGGCAACGTAACATAATATAGTTTTATGCGTAACTGTTATTGAGAGAAGAGAGTTGGGAATGTAGCAAGTTTAGATAAAATTAAATCATAGTCGCCAAAGCGTTGGTCGTTTGGCATCCACTTAATGAGATACTACTGAATATCTTTGTGAAACACCCTCTAATTTTACAAAACGAGTGTAAATCTGGGCAGATGTTGAATGTTGGTGTTTAACTTAGTCTTTTCAAGTTATTGTAACTTGAATTCTCTGTGTTTCAAAAAAAGTGAACCCAGTACAGTCGAACCTCGATTATCCGGACTATTCGAATATCCGGACTTTTTTCTGTGGTCGCAATTTTTTTCATGAATATTAATTAGTTGTGATCTTGAAAACTCGGAGTTGCAAAAAACCCAATAATCCTTTCAAAAGACTGTTGAAACAGCGTATTATCCTGTGTGCTTTTCAAAATCCGCAAGTGCGACGAGACAAAGAAATATTCCGCTGATCCGTCATTTGTAAATACATACAGGCTGTGTAGGTATCACAATGAAAATGATTTTTTCTTTGCAGTATAACTTTTGTTTACATTTCAATCTAATTAATATTCATATTTTGGATTATCCGGACTCTCGATTGTCCGGACTATTTACCGAGGTCCCGACAAGTCCGGATAATCGAGGTTTGACTGTAGTCATAGGAAACAAGATTGCTCTCAGCGATACATGGAAAGATAGAAAATGATTCGAAGTTTGCCACTCACCTTTATCAAACGTCAAGTAAGTCAACAATGCAGTCCAGTCTACATAAATGAAGAGTGCAAAAGATTCCATGCTGGCCTCAAGACTACGGTCTTCCGTTTCTACCCCGCACGTATGCCATAAGTTTTCAGTTGGTCACTAGCTTTTAGCACTGAGTGGATTAAGCAGCCCATACTGACCTATTATAACAAAGGAGAGTGTTTTATGAAAATAACTTAAACAAAACTGTTAACACCCGTCAGTTTTCTGTGGACATTACGAACAGAAACTCTAGAACCACGTCTTAAGAATGTTTTTCAAGCGATGGCACTAGCCATAATTAAAATAGTACATTGACGAAGCAAAGATATGCATTCATGCATGATCAAGGAAAGCTAACGAGAGTTTTAGTTTGATTTTGCCGTCTAATCCAGCTTTCTTGTTAACGTCAATAAAGTCTGGGCTTAAAATAGTGGTGGAGGAGATCTGATTGATGAATTTGTTTCTTGATGGTAAAAAAATTTTGATTCCTTCTTCT